TTTTAAGTAGTTTTTGAAACAAACGCAAACATACACAAAAAAAATAATTAAGGGCGTTGCCAGGTAAAAAACCCTTAAAAAGTATTTCACTTTGTAGTAAAAGATACTAATTTACAATTTTATTTCAATTGGCAATTCCTCAAGTGGCCAATCACTCTACCCATCACCCTAGCTAATGGTTTTCTTTACACAGTAGTTTAAATTAGAGTTTGGCTAATATTATTCAAAGTCTATGAAGTTTTTCAGAGATATTGTAAAATTGTTCGAAGAACTGGTAATTGAAAATCGAAACCAATAGCTGAAAATATTGAATTTGTTTAACATCAACATTCAAACACATCCATTTTTGAAGTAGTCAAAAAAACAACTTATTTTAATAATTTACTTACTACATGATATCAGGAGTTTTACAAATATTTTTTTTCGTTTTCGAACATGTGAACATGTTTATTCAGAAAATAGAAGGTGATACCTATCTGACAACTTTTATTTATAAATCGACTCTCTCGCATAAATTTAGTGAATATTGAAGAACTAAAAAGGGGGTATTTTTAGGAGCACATCAGAAATACTGAATTAATTATAGTTCCAACTATATCTTGATATTCATAATCAACACAATTTCAACAAAATAGTGTGAGAGATAAACTCAACTCTGTCGTAGAGAACAGTTATTTTGTGTTTAAACTAAAATTGATTTTAAACATTTCTACTACTTCTGTAGTCTACGTAAAATATAATTATAATTTTGATCTTAAAACAAATATGTGTTCAGTTTTGTTTGTAAAAAAATATTCTGTTGTATTAACATTCAGCAATGTTTGCGGTATTCAAAATGCATATAAAATATTTAGAGACTAAAATACCAACAACTAACACTTTTGTGAAATTTTTATATTTATATACAGCTACACAGCTGCTCAGTTACAACTATTGTGTACATAATATACGAGTATAGAACGCCTCCTAATCTACAATATAATTATGTTGTAGATTTTGACATAAAGCCAGGTTTACTGGTATCCAGTAACTGGCAACAGTCTCATTGGCTTGCAAAGGGAACTAATATAGAAACATGAAATAAGTTCAATATACTTAACAAACATGATGTCAAGCAAAGCTGCTTAGAAACCCCTACCAATGTCTTAATTACAGTGAAAAAAGAAGAACAAGAAAATTATGAAAGCTAATGTACAATATATGAGATACTAATAACATAAATTAATTAATTAACAATAAGTTAATAAATGGAGTGGAAACCACGGGATGACAAGCGAAGCCGAGAAAGACCCCCAACGCGATGGACCGACTTTCGGAGAACTGGCTGCAGTCAACATTTATTACAATCCCGAAGAAACCAAATGCCCAGATTTGTGATGACTACCGGTTTATAAGCTTGATCAATCATGTCACTAAAGCGTTCACTAAGATTATTCATAGAAGAATATATGATAAAAGTGAGTCAAATATTGATAGATTGCAGTTTGGTTTTCGGAAAGCACTTGGAACTAGAGAAGCAATTTTCGCTCTCCAGGTGCTTATACAGCGGTGAAGAGACGTTGATAAGGACGTGTATTTGTGCTTTGTAGATTTTAAAAAAGCATTTGACAATGTCAATCATGAACAATTGATAGGTGTTCTGCGAAAGACAGGTATTGACGACAAGGACATTCGAATTGTGGCAAACCTATACTGGGGTCAAACAGCAAGAGCAAAAATTGGCAACGAACTTACTGTGGAGAGGTGTCCGTCAGGAGTGTATATTATCCCCACTCCTATTCAATATGTATTCCGAGGAAATATTTAACAAATGTATGGAAAATGCAAATGAGGGCATAAAAAAAACGGCGAGTTAACGAACGATATAAGATATGCCGACGACACGGTGATCCTTGCCAGTACCGTAGACGAATTACAACAAGTAATGGAAAGACTTTATTCAGTTAGTAAGGAATACGGCCTGAGCCTCAACTTCAAGAAGACAAAGTGGATGCTGATAAGCAAAAAGCAACAACCTGCTCGACAATTACGGATAAGTAACATACTAGTTGACCATGTAGAATATTATTTGTACCTTGGCACTAACGTAAATGCAAAATGGGAACAGACCATAGAAATTAAGGCGAGAATAGAACGAGCTAAAGCAGCATTTAGCAATACGAAAAAGCTTCTCATAAGCAAGGATTTGTCTCTTCCCCTAAAACTACGCATAGTTAAATGCTACATTTTTCCGATCTTGCTGTATGGCGTGGAGGCCAGGACACTAACGAGAAAACTAGAAGCATTCGAAATGTGGGTGTACCGACGCATTCTTCGTATATCCTGGACCGAACATGTCACCAACATAGAGGTACTCCAAAGAATCGGAAAGGAGAAAGAAATCGTGAATACAATTAAACAAAGAAAGCTTGAATATCTAGGCCACATATTGATACACGATAAGTACCGTCTGCTACAATTGATTGTCCAGGGAAAAATAGACAGTAAGCGAGGGCCAGGCAGGAGAAGATACTAGTGGCTCCAAAATCTGCGGAAGTGGTTCGGGCTCACATCGGTCGAACTATTCAGAAGCGCCGCAAACAAGATCAAAATTGCCATGTTAATAGCCAACGTTCGCAACAGACAGGGCACTTGAAGAAGAAGAAGAAGACAAAGGCAAAGGTTTCCTGCTGAAACGTTGATTGATTACTATGGAACTAGGTCTAGTTCCACATTTAATATATTTTTATTGAACCTAAACCCAAGAAACATTAGTTTTGTATTATATATATATATATATATATATATATATATATATATATAAATATATATATATATATATATATATATATATATATATATATATATATATAAATAAATATATATATATATATTTATATATAATACATATATATATATATATATATATATATATATATATATATACATATATATATATATATATATATATATATGTATATATATATATATATATATATATATATATATATATATATTGATTGATTAGTCAGTTATTATATCAGTGATTTTGAATGTCAGTTACTCGCGCGAAATCTATTTTAAAAAAAATAGATTTCGATTTAAATAAAATAAAGAGTAATTAATCAACAAAAATAAAAAAGATAAATAGTACAGCTTTCGTATGCAATTTTTGTATTTTAACCGCAAATGAATTCAGTTTTTATAAAGGTGTTATATAAATAAACGTTGTGAGATTTTTTCGATTTTTTTATTCTAATGGCTATTGGCTATTGTTTATCTACTTTAGAATTAAACCACAAAGCTAAAAAACAGACATAGACGCGATTTTCTTGACTCATTACTTTTTTTGTTACAGTAAAAGGTACAGACATTGCTTTACAGAATAAAAATATTATAATTTCTCTTCGAAATGATATTCGGTAAATTTCTTTAGGATTTACAGTATCTGAAATACTATTTTATAAAGTGGGCCACTTACACAATTTTTGTGTAATTTTTCCTATTTTTTCATAAACATTGTTTTATAACTCTAATTGCAGTTTTAGTTTTATGTAATGATACATTAAATAGAAAGTAAAAATAATTACCTTTAAAATGGTCTACTGCAGAAGACTCTATTTTTTCTTTTCCTTCTGCGGTCCTACTGCAGAAAGACTAATTTTAAGCATGACACTGTTTTTCAAAGTTTTGTACTTTTAACAATTTTGCTATTTACGACAAAATACAAAAATTGCATAGGAACGCTGCACTTTACCTAAAAAGTAAAAAATTAATTTCGCACGCGTGGCACATAAAATTGCCGGTCGCTACAATCGTTTTTTTCTGAGAGAACGATTAATTCTACAGAAAAAGTGCTAATATACATTTTTGTTAAACGTTATTTCAGCTAAATTTCAAGTTTCAAAAAATCAAACAAGATCGTAGGAATACTTCCTGGAAAACCTTTTGCAACCACTCAACAACTCAATACGTGTATATACAACCACATATCCCTAATTCCAAATGGTTTAAGAATTTTAGTATCGCCCGTAAATATACAACAATTTTAATAAGATTGAGATTTGGCCACGCTTGTTATCCTGCTCATCTTGCACAAATCAAAATATACAATTTAGACTTATGCGAAATTTATCAAGAACAAGGAGATCTTAACCACATCTTTTTTAAGTGTTCCAAATATCTTCAGCATTCAGGAACTCTTTTAAACAACTTGCAAAAAAGTCTATGATTGTCTAATTAAATTTATACATAGTGCAAATGTGTGTCTGTGTACAATTTTAGCTAAGCTCGTTAACCTTTGTTTTAATCCAATTGTTATTTACCTTTTTTTCCGTGACGTATTGCTAGTAATGTCTTAAACAAATGTCCTGATGGGTCTCTGAAAGAGAAGTGACTATCCCTGTTTTTCGTGATATTTGTTTTTCTTGCTATCATTCTCTTCTTTTGTTTGATTTAGTTATAGGGATTTTATAAGGTTTTTTTTATGACTTAGATATTAATTTTTAATGACTAGAATAATAATATTTGTAATTTTTCATTTATTATTTCTCAACACGTAAATTTGTCTAAATAGCTAAGTGCTAAAGCCACAAAAAAAAACAATAACAATGATTAATCTGTTAATTGAAATATGTTACAAAATAATAAAATAATTTGTACATTAGTTTTCCGGCATAATTTATATTTTCCGCCTTATTAAATGTTTTTTTGTGGTACGGAAATTATCTCTGTAGTACGGAAAAATCAGAATTGTTTAAAGAAAAATCTAAATACTTGTTCTATATTATATAAAATTTTAAAGTATCCCTTTTATGGATTTATTTAAAACTTGTAGCAGTTCTTGAAAAAAATTTAATAAAAGGTGTCGTACTAATAGTGTCATAATGTTACCTATTAGGTAATTTTTTATGGTTAAATAAGAAGTGTAAAATAATTTAATTTATAAAGAACTAAATATTTACTAAAATATCTACTAAATTTAAAAAAATTTATTGCCTTTTTTACTTTAGACCACTTACCAAAATAAAACACTAATGATTTGCCGTAATTTCGGCGGCAAAATGTAAACAACACACCACCCTCACAGAACACCAATTCTTTCTACTTGACTAGAATTACTAGAATGCACTAAGAACTAAAGCTATCTTCTACTAAAGTTGTCGGTAAGAATCATGTCACTACTTATTCACCTATCTGAACCTTTGATTGCTATTAGCTGACCTTCGCGACATTCATTTTTTTTTAACACTGCCTACCGTGTGATGTGCAATGCGCAACCATTGACCTGGTCGCTTCGTCGTTAATTCTTTCGGAAGGATGTTACACTTTTGCGGAAAGGGACCGCACGCTTCTTTCAGCGTTAGGCAAAAGTGTAGTGTGAAGTAATTATTGTCATATTAATTAAATAAGCACATAATAAAGATGTGTTATTTTACGGTTTGATAAATAATATTGATAGGCTCAGGATATAGAATGTACTACTTCTTAATATTCTACAGTGAATCTGATATATTATACTAGCTATACGCTCCAGTGAAACCTAAAATTAATTTTACATTAAAATCTTTTTATGTGGAAGATTAGCCTATTCTAAGATTGTTTATAGATATTTTGGTATTCTTTACTATTATTATTATTATTAATTATTTATATAAAAAGTATTTTATTTAAATATTGTTCTTAAATTAAAATCTTCACACTTCTTGGCAATATTTCACTGGAAATGGTTCACTAAAGATGAACTAATTAGTCCAAATACATAGCTCTGAGCAAATATATATCACTCGATTAAAAATTTTGAAAACGTAGTGAGTGAATTTAAACAAATTAGTTTAATAATATTATGAAATAGTATATTATAAAGAAGTATGCATCTTAATAATATTTATAAATTAAAATAAAATTTATGTTAAAAATAGTACGTCGATATGAGCAAAGGTCACTTTGCATCAATATAACATAATTATAACAGTTTCTATTTCACAGAAAAAGGAAGCTCGAATAAAATTTTGACTAGGCTTTCAAATAAAAAGTTTTAAAAGCAAAAACAGAAAATAAGGTTATTAAATATTTTATAGCAGTGCGCTTTTTATTTTGTCTATCTGTTGGGGGTATCAGAAAACATCATGGCGGTCTTACACATACAGATTTTTGTATTTTTTTTATTCTGAAGACTACCTGAGAATAGTTGCAATTTGAAAAGAAAAGTATTATTGAATCAAAGGAAGGCCACTTCAAGATAATATCTACAATAATATTGACAAACATTGTTGTACATTTTTGTTAATAAATCGTGAAAGAACAACCACTTTATGTAATTTGAAATAAAAGCAATGCCAACATAAAACAGTTATGATACTCGTCTTTACATTTTTTTTTAGCTGGATACCTTTAAGCGGAAAATTATTAATAAAAAAGTTAACCATGATGGTACCGTATCACCAGCAGGTATAGATTTTTTGTCTAAAAAACTAGATGTACATGAATTGAATGATAATTTATTAAATAATGGGTTTTAGTACCAATGAAATCCAAAAAGGTAGTTAAACTTACCATATAAAGATCAATATTTAACCAAATTAAAATAACAGTAGACAGACTGTTGACAGTTAGAAGAAGTTACTGTCAATATCAAAAAAAGTTAAAATGCTAATGTAAAGACTCACTATTGAACCCGATTGATTGGAACTCTAAAGGACAGCTTAACGTCAAAAAAAATTTTAATGCACTATTTCGATGCAAGTTTTCTCAAAATTTTGACAACTTTTTTTTTCAACCCTCCAGTACACGCGCTCTATTTTCTAACGTGTTATTTCATTAGTAATCCATAGGTACTGGAGCTCTGGAAAAGCAATATTTGAAAATAGTGTTATTGTTTTAACAAGGTTAATATTACCACTGCAGTCCATAATTCGCTTTATTTTATAAGTAAAATGTACATTAAATTAAAAAAAAAACGGATGTGGCAGTCCAGTGGGACTGCCGGTAAAAGTTATACTTCTAAACACGCGTTCGCGTTACAAATTATTATGTGAGTCAACCTGCACAATCATTACATATTTAATGCTATAGGTAAGAGAGAACAGAAAGAGAAAATGAATTAGGTATATAGGTATATGATGCATCGTTTGCTGTATATAAATATTTGACCTGTAATAGGAGTATAGTAAATGAAGGATTGTATGAATATTTTAATGAAAATATATATTTTTATTTTCATATATGTATATTTTTTTTACACATACTCTGTAGTAAAATTCATTGTTTATTTTGTTCAAATCTAAAAATTACAATACAAGACACTGCAACATAATTCAATATAATAATACAATACAAATTCAAACGCAATATTCATAAGTATTTAAAACTGCCAATATACATAATTTACTTTACGTAGAAAAAATAAAAAACCAACAACTCGGATTATGTTGTAACTTTTTATTTTATTTAAAAATTTAGCATTTTTGCGTATATTACATATATTTAATAATATTAACGTGAGGTTTTTAAATATTTCAAAAATAAAAAGGGGAAATTCATATTGGGATTCGAACTCAAGTACACCAGGGTATGAACCAAACACGTAAAAGATTTCCCAATTAGACATGAAACTAATGGATTTTAAAATTGACAGTTCTCTGTCATACAGTAATTATTTTGAAATACAAAAGCCTAAAATAATTATGAACATTTAATAAACAATACATAACATATCACATAAATAATAATATTATTAAATATATATATATATATATATATATATATATATATATATATATATATATATATATATATATATATATATATATGTATATAACTTCAAAAAATAAAAAAAAACGATAAAAATTAAAAATCAAATACTATAAATCAAAGGGACCTATAACCAACAGTAACAAACCACACTAGGTTCTATAATTTCCAAAATTTAATATTTTACTCTGATTCAGACTTCATGTTCTGTTTTATCTTAGCACAATGTACACACATAATTGTTTAAATGTCCTGGGAAAGTCCACTGATCACAGCTGCTGCACCATTTTCTTGTGCTCTTATTCCTTGCTCGTCCACAAATATGACAAAGTACGAAGACCGAATCAGAACTTTTTTAGGAGTTTCCCTATTTATTTTTAAAAGAAATTTAATTTTTTTTATTTCTGTTGATGCATGAGTGTTGTCTAGTCGCCGTAACATCAGTAGTTTTATTAACTCAAACGAAATGTCCTGAAAAAAGTGCTTCTTGGAAGTGATGCAGTGATATTATAAGCCTTATACAGGGAAAATGCATTAATGCAACTAATATACTTAAAAAATCAAAGAACACTGTAAGTGACCAACGCCAAGAGTTTCGTAAAACATCATCTTGTGCACACAACTAGTCCACCAGATCCACACCGAATTTTGTTTTGTTGTAATCTGTTCAATCAGTACCATCATCTGTACCATCATGATGCATGCTTAAAACAGCTAACACGACCTTTTTTGGAAACGTACGTTACCAAGATACACTTTTCTTGGAGAAATGTTTGTCTCTGTTTTTAGACGGTATAAGCTCTTGTAGTATCCTCTTTTTATTTTTACGAATTGTACCAACAATAGTTGATCGCTTTTGAAGCAAGTCCAGGGCCAAAGGTATACTGGTAAACCAGTAATCCATGGTTACATTTTTGTCAGTTCCTTCTTTGGGTTTAACCTTTGTTTTAACAACCTCTCCGCTACTCCAATGAGTTGAAGGACCAAAAGGACCAGTTGGTTGTGTTTTACAGTAAATCTACATATTATAGGTATATGAATATTTGCTTTCTACTAACGCACATATTTTTATACCATATTTGGATGGTTTACTTGGGATGTATTGACGAAATTGACATTTTCTCCTAAAAGCAAGTAATTTCTCGTCAATTGTTAAATATTCTGACTTTTTTTGAAAATTTAAAATAAAAGTCTAAAAATGTCTCGTATAGGCAAGTTTATTCAGCTCTCTCCTTTGTTGTCTAGAATTAAAGTGGTCAAACCTAAAACATCTCAATAGAAATCGGAAACGATTTAAAACCGTCAAGTAAATAGCTTCAACACCAGTACCTTTCTTATTTAAGCACCTATGTAGCGTTGAAAATTTGCTCTTACCTTCTCAATATAGATGTTGGTACATCGCGTAATTTCTTTGACGATATTATCATCTAGCATACATTTGAACTGTGGTTTTGCATTTCTAGCTCCTGTTATTGATCCTGGTAACTTCAAAATTATATTTATTTCTGAAGTTCTTAAAGTAGGCGCATGACATTATTTTTTGAACCTTGAACCTCTTTATCACAATCTTGTTCAGACATGGTACATTCTTGTTCTAGAACATCAGATACATACTGCTTAACATTATAGTCATCTGAGCAGCTGTCGACGTCACTACCATCTATATTTGGCTCCTGTTCGTTCTATATTTCATTATTCGATTCTATCAGCATTTTTTTAAAATTAGAGTTGCCGAATCTTACTTTTTTTATGTCGAAACATTGCTAATAACTAAAGCAAGGATAAAAAATAAATATTTGTTACTCTTTTTTACGCAAAAACTTACCTTAACCGCTGAATACAAAATATAATTTTTAGTTAAGGGTTACATAACTACCCGCGTGGATTACAATGGTAACAAAACACAATATATTTCTTAGACCTACACACATCAATCGACAGTCGCATACTAAAACAGTTTCTTATTGTAAGTTATAGTATCGTGCCTTATACTATGCCCTGAATGTATAAGGAGATAGGTAGCTTTATATACAGTATAGCCCAAACAGCAATATTATAAAATTCAATGAATTACATATGTAATCCGCGTGTGTACTGAAGGATTTAACTCAAGAAGGACGTATGTGACAAATGTGAGTCTCAGAAATATGACATTTTTTATGTAAGTGATGATGAATCCCATATATTAAGGAATAAAAGCGCTAGAATTTAGAAAGGAAAATATAAAATATATAAAAATGCTTCACATATACAACGGACTTAAAAGCCGTATTGCCTGACCTAAAATCTATAGTATCTACTATATACTACAAGCTAACAGAACGAGATTTAACATTTAATGAGTTTGCTAGCATTATTTCTCATTTTGTGGTATTCCTGTTTTCTTTGCTCGAGAATAAGAAATTAATTGTATCCTGTGAAGGCTGTTCTTAGAAGTTATAATATTTCCAATGCTCTATTACACATTACTTTCAGAAAGAATGTTATA